GAGTCAGGTCAACACCTGGGGCAGCATTCATTTCCACATTCACATCACCAGTGGACACATTCTGAAGGTCTTTCATTTCCTGTTTGAGGAGCAGTAAAATTTAATTTGCACTGTGACTACAATGAGCTCCTTTTACCTAAGGGAAGTAAGACTTTTTGGTATACCTCTTCATGATTCTTCTTCAGGTAGGCCAGTTCTTCGGTCAGGCTCTCGATCTGCATCTCCAGGTCAGCTTTGGTCAGGGTCAGCTCATCCAGCACTCTGCGTAGGCCGTTGATGTCGGCTTCCACGCTCTGGCGCAGGGCCACTTCATTCTCATACCTGAAACAAGCATGAGACAAATCCTTGATACAATTTCCCTAAGAGAGGTGACTGTTTAAAAAGCACCATGGCCACATTGATAATATACGAATTCACACAGGGATATTAGTGGTTTACTGCAAAGAAGTTGAACAGTTACTTTGAGCTGCATTTTCTTCTTTCAATATTGCCGGAGTTGTTAATGACAATTTGAGTGAATTCAGGAAAATGTAAATGCTGTTGTCAGCTTTCAAAGTCATTGTTAAAAACTACTCAGATATTTGTGGTGGCAGTTTTGAATCACATTCACTTAGCTTACTTCAGCCTGAAGTCGTCAGCTGCCAGCCTGGCATTGTCAATCTGAAGCAGGACATTAGCGTTGTCGGTTGTTAGAGTGAGGATCTGGAAGGAGAAGCGAGTAAGTTAGATGCAGGTATGGTTTTGATAGTGGCATAGATGAACTGCATTTTTATGTTCATTTTGGTGGAATTTTTTCTCTCAAATAGGAAGTACTGTCAACTTAACCATATACTTAAATTTGAGTTTCTGTACTCTTATCTCTGTAGCATCCCTTTCTGAAAACTAACTGGAATGTCATGGACATGTTCCTGTAAGTGTGTCCTGCAACTGATTGCCATGTATTTCAGCCAACTTTTCACTGATTCATGCCTGTATTTAGTTTAGCTTGTTATAACTATATATTCTAAATGAACACAGCCTGAGCTGGCATGCAGTAGGTACAGCTCACAAATTCCTTGGAGATAAGGAACATCCCACATCCATACTGTAGAATTCATACTGCTGGTAGTGCACATGTCATTTTTTTTGTTACAAATATGAATAATATTTTGTTTCATTTAGCAATTCAGTTCATATTTCTAAGAGATCTAGTGTATTTTAACTATGGAGTCATCATATACTCATTAAAACCTCAAACAGTCTCAGTAGTCTGCATTCTGTAAGGCATACAACACACATGTTGAATGAAGATGGCAATGGCCATATCTTCATAAATATTTGTCTTTGATGAGACTGAATTATTTTTGGAAGCAAGAAAGTAACGGCTAACACACACAACTGTATTGTGCTTAATTCAAGTTTCATGTATCTAAACCACATGGATAAGAAATAGGCTTAAAGTTGGATTTTTAAAATGCCTCTTACCTGATTTTTAAGGTCTTCGATGGTTTGGTAGTATTTACTGTAGTCACGAGGCTCTCGCTGGCCTGCGTTGCCATGCTTTTCATACCATTCCTTGATTTTGCCTTCTAGCTCATGGTTTGATTCTTCCAGAGCCCGAACTTTATCCAAGTAGCTAGCCAGGCGGTCATTCAGATTCTGCATGGTTACTTTCTCATTTCCGGAGAGAAGGCCGCCATCTCCTCCTCCTCCATATCCGCCACCTCCAAAGCCGCCTCCGAAGCTGCCTCCACCAAAGCTGCCCCCACCGAAGCTGCCCCCACCATAGCTACCCCCACCAAAGCCACCCCCTCCAACGCTGCCACCTCCAAAGCTGCCTCCTCCATAGCCCCCACCACCACAGCTGCTGGTTCCATAAACTCCACCAAAGCTGCCTCCTCCCATTCCTCCTCCCATTCCTCCTCCCATTCCTCCTCCCATTCCTCCTCCCAAGCCACCAGATGAGCCACCCCCATAGCAGCCTCCAGTGGTGATCCCACGGCTGAAAGAGCCACCACCGCACCCTCCAGAGCTAAATCCTCCACCGAGGGAGCCTTTGCTGCTTGAAATTCTGCATGATCCTCCTCCTCCTCCACTTCGGGAGGAAGAGAATTGCCTGCTTGAGCTGCAGCGAACAGACATGGTGATGCTCTGTAGCCCTGGGAGCACCTGCGACTACGGACAGTGACAGGCCTTTATATACCGAGAGGGTGTGTCCCACGTGTGTCAGATTTGCTTACCTGCTTGGTTTTCTTTTTGCCAATTTAGCATCTTGGGCTTATGATTGCATAAATTTCCTTCAGTAATAACCAAACCCAATAGGTATAGTTTTGAATTTGTCTTAGGAACAAACAGGATTTTTGCTGTGTTGAAACTGAAAAGGGTGTAGTTCAGATGAGCATATGTTCCATTTTGCGTTTTCACCTATTTGAAAACATTGGGCAACAGTTAAAATCTATTTTTCAGCACTAATTTGAGGGAATATTTGCAAAGTTTAGAGAAAGTTTTAACTCCAAAATTATAGTTAAGGTCTTTTTGAAATTCATTTTTTAAGCAGTTTTAATTAACTGGAACAACAATTAATATAAAGTCTGTCAGAACTGTGCTGTAATAGGGGTCCTGTAGAAAACTGAAAGCAACCAGAAAGAAAAAAATTCCAGAGATATGCTAAACAATTTAATCAGTGTTCAGAAGTTTCACCGACAAAACGTTAAAGCCCTAAAAGCACAGTTTAGGACTTGTGTGTGTATACAAGGAATATTTTCATTTATTTGTAGAATGAAAGTATATTGCTTAGGATTTTGGAAATGAGTAATGACTCGGAGTTTTCCAATAATGGTGCTTTTTAAGATTAAAAAAATCTAAAATCATGAAACTACCCTGATATTTTTTTCATTTTTAAATTTATTCTAATTTGATAAAGTACAGTTATTGTAATTAAATTTATGAAAACCATAATGAAGTAATTTATAGCACAAGATAAGAACTAACCCCCAGTACTATTTGTTTTACAGTGTTTGATTAATTGAAATAGGAGGATTTAGTTATGTTATGATTGTGAGTAAAACTTTTCTTGCAGGGTTATAAATCCATGTTAGAAAATGATAACTTGCTCCCCAAATTAGGAACTAAATTGCAAACATGTTTCTAGGCTAGATTGCATTTATCAGAATTTGGTGTAACAGTCATTCTAGGAAAGTACGTATTTGGGACTTTAATACGTGATATAAAATAATTTTATATCTACCCATAGGCTATTACATTGCTACTGTTCAAAACTATGTTTACATATTTATTCTGTCCCTATATATTCACCTTATTTTACAGTTATATAGTGCAATTTGTGTTGTTGTGATTTTATAATCTTGGGATAGGGATGGTGATTAATTTCTAGTTTGTGGGAGAGAAAGTTGAAGGCCTATGGCAGGAAAATGCAATTATGCAAAATCTTTGGAGGGGAAACAATTTTTTTTTGCTGTTCTGCATAAATCTTCTATGAGTGTCAAAAATTGGCTTTGCTACTCTCATTGGAGACTGCTTAAATAGCAGGATCTGTAACAACTTAAGAATATGTGAGGACAGGTACAGGATTTTTTTCGAATGATAGCTACATGATAAATCTATGTAGAAAAATGACCTGCACAGTCAACAATATTCTTACTAACCCCCCACCCCCACCATGTACTTGTTAAAATAAAATAGCACATTGTTTACTTAGACTGTCTTTATTAAACTATTGTTCACAGTCTGGTAAAGAAACTAGTTCTCTTTTGTTTTTGAGATATAATTAACAGTATCAAGTAAGTTTAAGATGCACAGCATAATGACTTGAGAATTGGTTATCACAATAAGTTTAGTTAACATCTATTAAAAAAGTAGTTAATAGATATAATGTACTTTATCAGAGAGAATTTGACATAAATAACTGTTGGTGATATCAGCAAATTGAAAAGGTAAGAAGATAGGACTGCTGTGATTCAGAACTCTCAGGAATGAAAGTTTGGGTCACCACTCTATGAGATAAAGAACTTTGGCTTGGAGGGATTGGGGGAAGATTGAGGAGAAAGACAAAGCTTAATAATAAATACTAATATTGATTAACTGCTGCACCTCCCCTTGTATTGGTCTCAAATTAGTGTTATTGATAAAGAAAACACTAATTTCTCCAGGAAAAGGAGAAAAATCATGTCAGGTTATGAACAATACTCTAGATCTCCAGGGCTTGGTTCACTTTGCTAGATCAGCATTTTAAAGGATAGCAGTCAGTATGTACACAGTAAGAGCTCAGAGTCCTTACCCAGCTTTACATTGAAGGGCTTTACATTGAAGCATGTTGGGACTTCAACAATGTACCTTACAAGAGTGGCCCCCAAGAAGAGTGCCCGGTACATGCAGAAAGACATGTGAACTACAGTCAAGATTGTCTGAACTATGACAATGTTGGTGCCAGGTAGATGATGAAAACTTGACTGTTGGAGTCCATGCACACTGGTATAGGGCATCAGTCATCAGTGTGAGATACAGAGATTAGGGTTTATCCATCAGGTCCCAAGCAAATATCCTGGGGGTGGGGAGGGGGATCAGGGTTCACGTCCTGGGGAAAACTGCAATTCAAATCAGGAAGAATATGGAGGAAGGCTGCTATTTGGTGGACACGGTAATGCAGGAACCCATCAGGGAACCCAAGGTAGTTGCAGGGGCACAGTGTAACTCTAGCTATCACTACTCCATGTACAGTAGAGTACTAAGTAACACAGAATGGGTTTTTGTTGACTGAAGGATGGGATTGGGTTGACCTTACAAGTACCAGGTCTTTAGTCCTGCTCACTAGGCAAGTCTGGAGAAGGCAGGGGTCTGGAAGTCACTCTTTGGTCAAATTGGCAACACCATGTTGACAGTCCTTCTGTCCATGTGAGAGACACCAGATAGCTTTGCTGGGGTGATAGGATTTCACTCCAAGACTGTGTTGGGAGCTATCTCACAAGCTGTAGATAACAGTATTGAGAAGAATGTAAGGGCAGGTATATGTGAGAAGTGATCAGAAAGTGAAAATTCCAATTAATTTTTTGGATCTTAATGGAGTTATTTTAGAATTTCTAGGATTGAAATGATTTGAAAGCCAGGGCTGCTTTCAGTATATTGTGTATTTTTAAGAAAGAATAAGATTGTTGACTCATGTGTTTTTTTAGTCAGTGAGATTACTGAGAAATCATCATGACAATAACCCCGTCTTGAGAATTTCTGGGATAAATCTATCTTCAAAGTTAAAATTATTACCTAATTTAAATAAGGACAGTTACGACCAAATGGATAGTTTGCAGCAGTAAGAAAGTTTATTGAAATTCATTAGTAAATGAGAACAGAAAGGTTTTTTCCTTTTTATCCATTAAAATCACTTTCTGGTCAAGTGAAAAGAAGAACTACAGAAACCACAAAACACCTGTAGATCAATTATTTTCGAGGAGTGAACCTATTTCCATAGACCATTAAGACTGAAGTGCGTCCCTGGAGATTTTCCTCCTGCATTTCTGTATCAAATGGCTTTTGTAGAATTGAGACTCTTTTCAGTCGCTGTGGCTTAATAGTAGTGTTTCCTGGTTTCTGATTCAACCACAGATGAAAGGACTCTCCCATCAGGTGCCACCTCGTCAATAATTGTCTTGATTACCCTGATTTTGTCAGTATCTGGAAGGAATGACACAGAATTAGAATACAGACCACGCAATTTGGGGCGGGGCGGAGAGGGGGCTTACTAATTAGCAACCAAAGCTTCTAAGAGAAAAATACGCTTAAAAACAACAATAAATGTTGTTTTAAAAAACCGAGCCGTGTCCAAGACAGCACTTAAACCACACCAAGTGCCTTCAGGGTTGGTGTCAAGCATACAGTTCGCCCAAAACGCAAGGTTTCAATTTTAAAAAAAGCAGCTCTAGTGCTTAAAAAGCAACCAAACCAGCTCAGAAAGTTAAAACTAGTTCTGATTACCCCAGTTTGTTTCTGCTGACCTTGGTCCCTTTGAGCTCTCCGACCCGGAAGGCCTTTGGCCGCCGCCGGAACTGCTGCCGCCGTAGCCGCCGCCGGAACCCCCGCCGCCGGAACTGCTGCCCCCGTAGCCACCGCCGGAGCTGCCGCCGCCGGACCCGCCGCCGTAGCCACCGCCGGAACTTCCGCCGCCGGAACTTCCGCCGCCGCGCCCGCCGCCGTAGGAGCCGCCTGCGGAGCCGCCTCCGGTGCTGTGGGGAGTAAGGTCATGCTCTGTTCACATTTTTTCGGCTAACTGTTAATTTTGGAAAACGGCAGGCCGCTTTCCAGCTTATCGTGACTTTAGAAAATAAGCAGGAATGCTTCGAGGAAAAACAATTCCTGCCAGATGGGTTCAAAAATAAAAATACAACCACCCCCAAGATACATTTTATGTAACACAACCCTGAGAATCATTCTTGGACAAATTCATGGGAAATGAGACTGGTTTTCCTGTCATCCACCTTCCCCTCTCACGCCCATTCTCTTGGGATTTGAAATACTGAATAAAAGGATTAAAAAATATAATTTACCCTCCCTCTCCATCTAGCAGGCTGCGGTAGGTTTGAATTTCATTCTCCAGTCTGATCTTGATGTCCAGGAGCTGTTGGTACTCGGCATTCTGGCACTCGGTTTCAGCACGGATCTGTTGCAGTTGTTCCTCCAGAGCGGAGATCTGGCCCTGAATCTGAGAGAGCTGCATACAGTAGCGACCTTCCGTTTCTGCCAAGGAGGATTCCAGGGATTGTTTCTGCAAAGAAGAGAGAACAGATGTGGCTTAATGATCTCATTCAGTTGAATACTGGGAAGCTTATTTACTCACTTAATAAGTCATTGCACAGAAGAATAAATGAGTAGAACATGAGCTTTATGTTGAATGATAATTCAATTTTAGCTCTTTTCAGATCACTGCCAATAATGCTTTTCTATACTTGAGAGTTTCACTGCTATTTCTACTGTCTTACCCCAGTTCTGCATTTTCTCATGTGCTGCATATTCTTATGTGAGCATGAAACTTTGTAAGATAAAGTTGAAGTCATTTCACAAGAGAGTTAACAACATACCAGAGCTAGTTGGGACTGTAGTTCGATCTCCAGGCCTTGAACAGTGCGTCTCAATTCAGTGATCTCAGATTTATGGCTTGACACTTGTTCAATGTTACTGTCGATTTCTGTAGTCAGTTCCTTGCTCTAGAATATTAAAAACAGAGGAGAAGATGAAAAAAGTCTGAAATGATAAACAAACCTCCACCCGCTTCACCATGAAGGAAGAGGCATTACCTTTTCATTGAACCAGGCTTCGGCATCCTTGCGGTTTTGTTCAGCAAGTTGTTCATATTGGCTTCTCATGTTGTTCAGAAGTTGAGTCAGGTCAACACCTGGGGCAGCATTCATTTCCACATTCACATCACCAGTGGACACATTCTGAAGGTCTTTCATTTCCTGTTTGAGGAGCAGTAAAATTTAATTTGCACTGTGACTACAATGAGCTCCTTTTACCTAAGGGAAGTAAGACTTTTTGGTATACCTCTTCATGATTCTTCTTCAGGTAGGCCAGTTCTTCGGTCAGGCTCTCGATCTGCATCTCCAGGTCAGCTTTGGTCAGGGTCAGCTCATCCAGCACTCTGCGTAGGCCGTTGATGTCGGCTTCCACGCTCTGGCGCAGGGCCACTTCATTCTCATACCTGAAACAAGCATGAGACAAATCCTTGATACAATTTCCCTAAGAGAGGTGACTGTTTAAAAAGCATCATGGCCACATTGATAATATACTAATTCACACAGGGATATTAGTGGTTTAATGCAAAGAAGTTGAACAGTTACTTTGAGCTGCATTTTCTTCTTTCAGTATTGCCGGAGTTGTTAATAACAATTTGAGTGAATTTAGGAAAATGTAAATGCTATTGTCAGCTTTCAAAGTCATTGTTAAAAACTACTCAGATATTTGTGGTGGCAGTTTTGAATCACATTCACTTAGCTTACTTCAGCCTGAAGTCGTCAGCTGCCAGCCTGGCATTGTCAATCTGAAGCAGGACATTAGCGTTGTCGGTTGTTAGAGTGAGGATCTGGAAGGAGAAGCGAGTAAATTAGATGCAGGTATGGTTTTGATAGTGGCATAGATGAACTGCATTTTTATGTTCATTTTGGTGGAATTTTTTTCTCTAAAATAGGAAATATTGTAAACTTAACCATATACTTAAATTTGAGTTTCTGTACTCTTATCTCTGTAGCATCCCTTTCTGAAAACTAACTGGAATGTCATAGACATGTTCCTGCAAATGTGTCCTGCAACTGATTGCCATGTATTTCAGCCAACTTTTCACTGACTCATGCCTGTATTTAGTTTAGCTTGTTATAACTATATATTCTAAATGAACACAGCCTGAGCTGGCATGCAGTAGGTACAGCTCACAAATTCCTTGGAGATAAGGAACATCCCACATCCATACTGTAGAATTCATACTGCTGGTAGTGCACATGTCATTTTTTTGTTATGAATAATATTTTGTTTCATTTAGTAATTCAGTTCATATTTCTAAGAGATCTAGTGTATTTTAACTATGGAGTCATCATATACTCATTAAAACCTAAAGCAGTCTCAGTAGTCTGCATTCTATAAGGCATACAACACACATGTTGAATGAAGATGGCAGTGGCCATATCTTCACAAGTATTTATCTTTGATGAGACTGAATTATTTTTGGAAGCAAGAAAGTAACAGCTAACACACTCAACTATATTGTGCTTAATTCAAGTTTCATGTATCTAAACCACGTGGATAAGTAATAGGCTTAAAGTTGGATTTTTAAAATGCCTCTTACCTGATTTTTAAGGTCTTCGATGGTTTGGTAGTATTTACTGTAGTCACGAGGCTCTCGCTGGCCTGCATTGCCATGCTTTTCATACCATTCCTTGATTTTGCCTTCTAGCTCATGGTTTGATTCTTCCAGAGCCCGAACTTTATCCAAGTAGCTAGCCAGGCGGTCATTCAGATTCTGCATGGTTACTTTCTCATTTCCAGAGAGAAGGCCGCCATCTCCTCCTCCATATCCGCCACCACCAAAGCCGCCTCCGAAGCTGCCTCCACCAAAGCTGCCCCCACCGAAGCTGCCCCCACCATAGCTACCCCCACCAAAGCCACCCCCTCCAAAGCTGCCACCTCCAAAGCTGCCTCCTCCATAGCCCCCACCACCACAGCTGCTGGTTCCATAAACTCCACCAAAGCTGCCTCCTCCCATTCCTCCTCCCATTCCTCCTCCAAAGCCACCAGATGATCCACCCCCATAGCAGCCTCCACTGGAGCTCCCACGGCTGAAAGAGCCACCACCGCACCCTCCGGAGCTAAATCCCCCACTGAGGGAGCCTTTGCTGCTTGAAATTCTGCATGATCCTCCTCCTCCTCCACTTCGGGAGGAAGAGAATTGCCTGCTTGAGCTGCAGCGAATAGACATGGTGATGCTTTGTAGCCCTGGGAGCACCTGCTACTACGGACAGTGACAGGCCTTTATATACTGAGAGGGTGTGTCCCACGTGTGTCAGAGTTTGCTTACCTGCTTGGTTTTCTTTTTGCCAATTTAGCATCTTGAGGTTATGATTGCATAAATTTCCTTCAGTAATAACCAAACCCAATAGGTATAGTTTTGAATTTGTCTTAGGAACAAACAGGATTTTTGCTGTGTTGAAACTGAAAAGGGGTGTAGTTCAGATGAGCATAGCATATGTTCCATTTTGAGTTTTCACCTATTTGAAAACATTGGGCAACAGTTAAAATCTATTTTTCAGCACTAATTTGAGGGAATATTTGCAATGTTTGGAGAAAGTTTTAACTCCAAAATTATAGTTAAGGTCTTTTTGAAATTCATGTTTTTTTTTTTTTAAATAATAAATTTTATTTTTATATTCCCCCATACAATTGCAAACGCCCCATTCTGACCCCAATCCTTCCCCTCCCGCCCCCCACCCCCAAAAAGTGTCTCTGGTTCATAGTTTTTTGTTGATTTTGATTTTAACTTTCTTATATTCATTTTCCTGGTCCCTTATTTAAGTTTTCTAGATTCCTGCTATGAGTGAGACCATCCGTTATTTTTCTTTTTCTTTTTGGCTTATTTCGCTGAGCATGATCCCTTCCAGCGCCATCCATGTTGCTGCAAATTGCATGTGTTTATCTTTTTTGAATGCTGAGTAATATTCCATGGTATATATGTACCACATCTTCTTGATCCAGTCATCTATTTTTGGGCATTAATTCATGTTTTAAGCAGTTTTATTTAATTGGAACAACAATTAATATAAAGTCTGTCAGAACTGTGCTGTAATAGGGGTCTTGTAGAAAACTGAAAGCAACCAGAAAGAAAAAAATTCCAAACATATGCTAAACAATTTAATCAGTGTTCTGAAGTTTCACAGACAAAATGTTAAAGCCCTAAAAGCACAGTTTAGGACTTCTGTGTATATACAAGGAATATTTTCGTTTATTTATAGAATGAAAGTATATTGATACATTGCTTAGGAAGTTGGAAATGAGTAATGACTTAGGCGTTTTCCAGTTTCATGGTGCTTTTTAACATAAAAAAAATCTAAAATCATGAAACTACCCTGTTATTTTTCATTTTTAAATTTATTCTAATTTGATAAAGTACAGTTAGTGTAATTAAATTTATGAAAACCATAATGAAGAAATTTATAGCCCAAGATAAGGACTAACCCCCTGTACTATTTTTTTTACAGTGTTTGAGTAATTGAAATGGGAGGATTTAGTTGTGTTATGATTGTGAGTAAAACTTTTCCTGCAGGGATATAAATCCATGTTAGAAAATGATAACTTGCTCCCCAAATTCGGAACTAAACTGCAAACATGTTTCTAAGGTAGATTGCGTTTATCAGAATTTGGTGTAACAGTCATTGTAGGAAAGTATATAATTGGGACTTTAATACGTGATATAAAATAATTTTATATCTACCCATAGGCTACTACATTGCTACTGTTCTAAAATATGTTTACATATTTATTCTGTCCCTATATATTCACTTTATTTTACAGTTATATAGTGCAATTTGTGTTGTGATTTTATAATCCTGGGATAGGGATGGTGGTTAATTTCTAGTTTGTGGGAGAGAAAGTTGAAGCTCAGAGAGTGTATGATCTTGTCTAAAGATATATGATAGGTGGCTGGTCTTGTGACACCTGGCTTTTGACTTTTCTATTATGTCAGTGTGTGTATATGTTCTTTGCTCTGGTGGATTTGGTCTGATAGAACAGAATGCCTTTATTTCATAGCATAAACTTTTCACATGGGAAAGCCAAATTCCTTGGAAGTATGAAATTCTTGAAAGGGTAGGGGCACTTGGCATACACCCTTCTGTTACTAATTGCTTTTTCAAATTAAATTTATATACACACCTCCCAGTTTATGAAAATTATAGAAAGAGTTTCTGTAGGAAAAGAGAATGCGATTGGGAGGATTAACGAAGAGTTGGTTGTTAGAATGGAGGTTACTCCCCAACACACTGCAGCTCCTCTAGCTTGTCAGTACATGCAAGTGGGGCAGCAGATAAAAGAAAAAATGAAACTCACTCATGGGAATTGATCCTTGGCAAAGATAACATGCAATGAAGGAAGGCTTTGGTGAATCAGGGTGGAAAAAAAATTCAGTAAGTTCAGAGAGGATGTTGGAGCCTTGGTATTAATGAATGCAATTTGGAAAGAAAGCATTTCAATTAAAGAGTGATTTTAATTGATTTTTACCTGTAATTATCACAAATTTTGGATCTTGATTTTACCAGTTTTGCTTTAATATTAGTCTTTAACTTTTTCTGCCAGTAGGAAAATATAAAAATCTCAATCTAGTAACAAGTGATATGAAGAGATCTGTTAAGAGTATATTAACTCAAAGAATCATGTGAAAGAAAGCCTTTGCATGAAAATACATGGGCACACATATATGTATTAAACTTCTTTGAATACTGATTATAACATTTGCTTCAAGCCACCTTGTGGCTAGTATATGTAGCCCAGATTATATATAAATAGTATAATTGAAGATGAATTTAACTTGCATACTCTAGAAATGGATTTGTTTATATTTGCACTATCATCCGTGGAAATCAGCCTTTTGGCCTGGGTGAAATTACAGAGGTGCCATTTAATAATTTAGTAGCTAAATTGGATGAAAATTTAAAATTGTCGTATGTAGCCTTGGCACCATTTACACGATTGCCACAATCCACTGTAACTGTAATTTCATTGTTTTCGATTGTTATTGTCTCTATGAAAGCTACATTGGTAGGTGTTTAGAAGATAGAAACATGAATGAAATTCAGCTGTTTCCCTTAAAGTTTTTACATTACAACCTACTTGAGATGTAAGATAAATTACCAACATAAACTCTACGTAGATGGTAAAGGAGGTGGGATGGAGAGGAGTTAACAACTTCCTCAAGATCTGTGTTCTAGATGGTTTACTCTCCCCTAATCCTCCCCCAATCCTCTGTGATATGTATTACTTGTTTCATTTAATAGGTGAAAAAAAAACTTTCAAAATGGAATTTAAACTGAATTTATTGGAATTTAAACTGAATCTCATGAAGGATGGGTAGGATTTTTCCATGTGTGCAGCAGCAAAGGACTGTTCTGGAAAGTGGGGACTGAAAATGCCAAGCAGGTGAAGACTAAATGGATCAGTTTGTCGGGAACAGATTATCCATATTTATTGAATTTTTAAATAGATTATACTGAACATCTATGGTAGTCTTTGGGGTATATAGGTGACTTATATATACTTCATGCCCCTCAAGGAGTTTATACTCTGTTTGGAGAGACAAACAAACATACCCATGAATCAGGGATTATCATATAGGGTAATCTGGGCTACATTTGAAGTGTGGATAGGTGCTTAAGGGAGTGAAGGGAGGGATGGAGGGAGGGAGAGAGAGAGGGAGAGAGCGAGAGCGAGCAAACGAGCAGAGAGAGAGAGAGAGAGAGAGAGAGAGAGAGAGAGGAACGTGTGCTCAATTAAAGAATAGTAGATCAGCTTTTGGGAGATGAGTGGTTTAAGACAAATGAATTGGAAGCAATGCCATTAAAGTCATAGGTTTATAATTTAAGAGGAAAATTAAAGCAGCATATTTCAGATAGTTGGAATCACTAAGGGAAGAAATTTAGAGAAATGAGCAGAATGTCTACACTGCTTTAGGGGCTGGGAAGAATAATAGGGAATAAAACTGAGGAGGGCGCTCAATGAGGGGAAATGGGTCATGGAAAAGTCAGGGAACCCAAAGAACAAGGTGGGGGTGATCTCCAGAGAGAGGCTGAAGAGAAAGGAAATTAAAAACTTGGTTTGGCCAGTAGGAACCATTGGCATCCTTCTAGAGGACAGGTGCAGAGAGTGGTGATGGGAACCCACGGTCAGTGCCCAATACTGGAACTGATTACTTTGCTTATTGGCATTTTATTTTCTTGTATTTCTGTTTATAAATTTCTTCTGTAGTTGTTTCTGGACTTTGTGTCATGGTTAGAATGAGGACAGGTGCTGTTCCCATGGCTAATTTGGCTGGAACAAGTGAACCATGTTGTTGATCCGGCTCTGTTATCAGCTTGATTTATGTCACTGTTGGGTTTTAAATGTTTCCTCTTTCTTCCTTATTTTAGTTCAAATAAAATTCCCTTTTGAAGTTTCTAGTTGGAAATTCTGTGAGTTTCTTTTTTCTGATTGAGTCATTGAAATACAATAATAAATCAGGTCATTGCAAATAGACAAATCTGGTAATGCAGGTTGTGTCTCAAGACCGCAAGGTTGATGAGCTAAATGTTGAGAATTTTCTGTTGTTGATCACATAAAATTTGAGTGTTAGGCATTTTTTTTGGCTTGAATCTTCTGAGGCTTTGTGCAAATTGCTGAATATGCCTTTCTGGTTACTGCCATTGGAGCAAATCCCAAATGGAAAGTTGAACCAGTGTTTGACAGACTGGTGCTTTCTGAGTAACTGAGACAGGTAAGGTATTGATAAAGCCCATGTCTTCTCATTGGCAAACTTCTAAAAGTCAGGATTTGATGTCTGTAGACACTCCCATATTACACAATTCTTATGAAACGTCTGGGACTTCAGAATGGAAGTCACAAAAGCTCGAAAACGCCTCAGCGTACTGAAGCAGAGGGGTGGAGTGGGTGGGCTCTGGGATCAACTGCTTGTGCTGTGATTTTGTCTCAGTTTTCTCATCTCCAAAGCAGGAATAATCACTTACTTAGGTATAAATTGTAGTGGGAGTGAAATGAGTTAATAAATACAAACCATTTAGGATAGTGCCAGGCATATATAGGGTGCTTGATAGTTTTTGGTGGTGGTTGTTATTACTGTGATCTCTCTCACAGTCTACCCCACTGTCTAACCGATAACTAGCAACAGCTGAGTGCAGGAAAGGACAAGGTTGGAGTCGGAATATGACCAGTGAGGAGAATAGG